TTAATTATATATAACAGGTTTGCCCTTACCCAACGTATATCTTTGTTTTTCATATAAATTAGTATTTCGCCCAGATGGCTTGAATGTGGTCTTTTGGGCATAAAACCATGCTGGCATGAATCACTCAAACTTCCAACTACCGATCATCAGCCACGCTCCGTACACTGTACAATGACGATGGGGTAGAAGCGGATGCATGTCGCCAGCCGTTGTCGCCATGCATGAATAATACGTTTCAGCCTCTCGGCGTGTCTAGTTGTGTATAGTAAACCCGCCTGTGAGGTTCACGGTCACCGCGTGCATACATGATGGCAAACTCGTGGAGATCATGCAATCGATTTTGACATTGTTGCTGAGGGCACGTTGTTATGTTAAACATGGGAAAGATCCCATTACCTCGGCCCAGTTTCATTTAATTAATTTCCTTTCGTCATCCCTGATGTGAAGGTCTCGAATCCCAGAAATCAGCCATGTGTGCGAGACTTGAAAAGACCTATGTAATGGATTTTAAAGGAAATTCACGACCCGTTTTCCTTTTATGTCCATTCTACGCATCGTCATTTTATGGCTGTTTCTTGGTCATTTTAGCTTTGTACTAAATGTAAATTTCACACTTAAAGCTGTACAACACACCACTGTTGTGTGGCTTCTCTTAGAATAAGTAAAATTAGGATTTAAAAAAACCACTGCCACTGTCCAGCATCTTGGTGTGGCATTACTGACGCAACGCGTGGCAGTCAGTTCATGAAAAACCTAGATTTAAGTAAGCAAGCTTTATTTTGGATTTAGGCTATATAAACGCCTTTCAAATAATGGAGTGGGTGCTATACAGGTAAAGCATTCATAATAGCCGACCTTTCACCTGCACCGATTTTCGGTTTAAAGAAGGCAACCCTACGGTCAGTAACAAAAGCTGGTTAGCATCTAAATTGGGTTTCATAGCCTTGAAGGAAAAGGAATAACAATATGTGAGCAATTTCAGGTTCACTCTTCTTCTCGTTCACCAAGGAAAGAACACGCTTTCATTTCTGGTGGAAATTAGCCTGGTCGTGTGATTTAATTTCTGCCTTCACTTCACCCATACCGTAATGACTAATTACTCTCCGGCTGTTTGAGGTTGTTACAGGGATACAAGCAGGGAAAAAGTTAATTATTAACAATTAATGTCAAAATCAAAAATAGAACCTCCTTTCATCCACTAGAGGTTCCCACTCAACCCCCTGCAAGTTTTGGTTGTTCAGATCTATTGCACACGGGTACCCAAAATACACTCTCCCACACTTACGATTTCTGCCATTTTCGTGATGCCCTGGAGGGAACGAAGAAAGCTCATGTCGCAGGTGCACTTTGCGCCAGCGGCGCTGTTCCCCTGCAGGTTTGCCGTGGTGGTCGTGGACGCTGTCACCACGGTGTGCTGGCTAACTGTCGACACTTCCACTGTCTTGTCTGCCATCGTGCGCCTCAACAGCGACCATCAAATAATGAATAAAAGCGACAAGACGAATCGAGAGGTGACCATCAATTTCCTCGACAAAACCATAGGCTTATTGCTTTTATTTGCGCACGACCAGCGGGTTGTTTTCGGAATACGTTACACAGGTATCAAACCTTGCATCTCCCCTCCACGATAATAGTTGATTAATCCGAATCCCACTACATTATCTGCGCTGGCTTTAGCATACAGAGTGCGAAGTCCACCCATCCGTGATAAGGCACGCCTCGCACGCTCGGATGCGACGCATAGCCTACGCAGCTCTCGTAGGGCTCATCGGGAGTACATATCCAACAGCACGAGATCTAGCAACGCCATGCCCCCCCCCCCCATCGTTTCCATGGTTATATCTACAACCCTCATCTGTGACACATGATACAGCACGAGTATAATGGATCGGTGTGTGTGCCGAGACAAAGGATCGTTACCGTTCCACAATGATAGGTCACGGCTTATGTTAATAAAATCCATGTAATATAAAAAATAAAGAAAAGGAAGGAAATCCAGTGCGCCAAATTAAGTTTAGTCATTGAGGAGCATACATACCACCAAGCTCACATTTTTGTCCTTCAACCGGATAATGATGCACTCACGATGCATATTCGCTTCCTCTACCTCCACGGTTAAAATTATTAAGCGGGTTGGCATCGCTAACATGCTTACCCTATAATACTCCAAAACGGACTGGCAAGGCAGAAATGCCGATCGTCTTTATTTCTTGCCTCTATGCCATTCGAGCCGGAATAGAAGGGTATAATTGCTCCAGAAGGACCACGCATATACACGACGCTATGGTTATTCAATCCCCCTGAAAGCCTCAGCTTAACACGACTCAAATTATGGAATCCTGAAGTTACTTGCTTATTCGCTGCCCGTCTACGCGTTGGGAGAAATAAAACATCTTGCACTACTGTCATAATATTATGAAGCAAACGATGAGATTGACCCAAATATACTCCCCACAGTTTGCCAGTGCTACAACGCCTTTGTTTCAAAACGAAGCACGAGGTTGTATTCTATTGAGTAATCGTTCACAACGCGCTAGGGCCATAACCTTTCGGCAAGACTTTCGAACAGAGGCCATAACCATTCACGTAAATCCTGGGGATGGAGGGAATATCCCACAGTTTTGGGATAGGATACCCCCTCTCCCGTTTCTTGTGCCACAAACAGTTTGAAGCATTTGAAGCTTTTTTGGCTAAATTTGTTCACCTTTGGGCTTTCCATTGTGTCTGTGTGTGGCACTGAAATAGGTGGCACTTCAGTCAGAATCCTGGCGCTCCATACGCCCTTTAATATTTCAGAGCACCTTCAGTCAATGCCCTCGGCACACATGCACCAGTAATCTTGTCAGGGATGTTCAGGGAAATTCACTTTCTTTTTAACACAGTGGGGAATATCTATAATTTTAGGTGAATCTTTTCACAGAAAATCTCACATTAACGATCTGTTTGGTCCATTTGCGTCATCGATTCGTTTCGGCTTTCTATCTGCAAATTACAAAAAAGGTAATATTTCCAAAAATTGTAAGTGGCAACAATATGTTGAAGTGGTTGGTGCTGTTTTAAAAACAGATAGGTTCAGATACAGAACAGCGGGTAATCTTCCCTTCCTGGGACAGTTTTCAAAAATGAGAAAGGATTGAGGATAGTGCGTCCGCCCCAAGTTTAAAGTCGGGCATGTTAAAAGGTTAATTAATTTAAACCCTCCGAAGAGTGAGCGTGCCTCACTTAAGGCTCGAATGCCCGTAATCTTGCAGATATATTTCTAACTGAATGACAGAGTCAACTCATATCATGCCGCGTGGAAAAGCGATCCCTCTCTGAGCGTGTTATCTCGTCATTGGACCTAATTGAGGATGCAGGAAGAGTCGACAACAATCAGCTTCTGATCACCGGTGCAACTCCCCTGCGTGTTCGGCTGTGGTACATGCATTCCAACGGCGAGCAGCGCGGCGGTGCACTGCTCGTCTGGACCGGCCCCCTGATCATTCCTGGGGGAAGTGACATTCCCCCCGGGTTTCGCATGACGAGAATATTCCAACTCGATCCATTCTAATCACTTTATTTTTTGAAGACGGTACATTACCGCGTTCTCGAATTGTCGCGGGTCACCTCTTCTTCACGCATAACACTCCACTCTTTCAAGTCTTCGGTTGGAAAGGAACTAAGCCCAACCAATAAAAACGTATGACGACTAGAAAGTCATTGTAAGGGGTATATCCGGGACTGTAAAAATTTGGTGCCTTCGTCTGAACTTATTTTCCCCCGGTTTAGAAAGCCTGTGGTATTTCGGAGATTTCAAAGATTTGTGAACGTGACTATTTTCAATCTCCATTAGGCTATTTCTAAGAGGCTAGATTCATGAGAGCTAGTCAGATGTTCAGCTAGACGCAGTTGAAACACTCACTCCTCGATATGGCGGCCTTCTGTCACTTCCGAACAATCAAACCGAGTAAAAATGACAAAAGGCTTTACTGTAGGCCTATGCTAACTAATAGTAAATATCCGGTTTTGAAGATAAACCAACATGTAGTTTTTAATTGCCAACATGTCTCCAGGGGCAACTACCCCTCTACCTCTGACGTTTACCCCAACGCATACTCAAATTCTAATTCAAATGGTAACGTACGGTAGTAAATAATCGATTTTCCTACCCAAAACCTAACCGGTGGTAAACCTAATCGGTGGTCAAATTGTATGGGATCTTATGGGACACTGGGGGTTAATTCAAGATTGACTGGACTTCAAATCAAATTAAACACAGACGATGTTCTCGACGAAAAATTGGAAATCTTATACCAAAACATTGCCCATGCAGTGGCACCCTTATACAAAAACTCGAGGGGGTGGGGTCAAACCAACGACCCTGGAATTGGGACTAGGTCCATGCTGCATCGAATGAGCAGCATTGTAGTCGAGACCACCACAAGACCAGACAAAAAGACCATGCACAAGACCAGTTACAAGACCATGCACAAGACCATGCACTAGACTATGCACAAGACCAGTTACAAGTGACAGCGTAAACAACGACAAAGGAATGCTTTTGTTGCAGTTCATTTGAATAGCTTGTGACTTGAATTGAGACTGCATGTCTTGCGTTGGCCTTGCGCGGTCTTGTGAAGGTCTTAAGTGGTCTCGACTTCAACACGGCGGCTGAGCTAACCGGGCGAGCTCACGGCAGTCCCAATTTTGCTCATTTTTGCGCTAGGCCTTTCTCCGGTTTTCAGAAGTACCAGTTTAAAACCACTCCTTAACACTTTCTAAGGTAAAGATCAGTTGGTATATTGTCGCCAGCTTAAATGTTAACTGCATTATATCGCATGTTATTACGTAATCCTATTACAAATTTGTAATTACACGCTCAGGGCGATTCGTCTTGTGGCAAAATATGCAAACCTGGCTATTTCACTTGCATTTAAGTTAATCCCAAAAATGTATCGACGACGTTCTCAACAAAAGACAGCTCGAGAAGAATCCAACTGAAGTTCGTCGTTTCCAACAAATGAAATTATTATTGCTCTAAACCAATAAAGTTCAATTTAATCACTCTCAACCAATAAATTAAAGTCAATATACTTGTAACAATTTTAAAAACTATGTCGCAGTTATAGTGATTGGACAAGCATAATCTTGGAACATAACATTTGAGCGCAGAACCTTGAAACTAAACAGCTGAAAATATTTCAGAAACCTTAAAAATTTTATTTGACTTCTCATTATTAACAAATACCCACGAGCATGAATTATACTGCAAATAACTCAAAATGCTTTTCATGTAACCAAAAAATGCACGATTATGCCCAGTATTTGAGGGATCCTATCTGTAACTGTTATTTGGTCTGTTAGTACACTCGAAACTCAAACTATAGAAGGAAATGAAAATATAACTTGATATATGGCTAGCACCACTGAGCGTGTAATTGCTAGTTTACAAGAAATGAACGTGGAATTAAAATTGCTTCCACTTCTAAGACACCGCTAAAACTACAGAGACTGTCATGCTAATCATGTAGCACAATTCAATTACAGTAAAAATTTATCTATACGTGACTTTTAACTAAATATCTTACTGAAGTATAGAACCTCTTCCTGGCACGTCATGCGTTTTATTATACGTGTATTCAGAGAATGATCGTTTTCACATTTTCAGAATAAAAAAATTATTTTTTGAGAGAAAGTTTATTAAAAATGCGGACATTCATTCCTGAATCGCTCTTCAAGACAAACGATTTGTTGCAGTTGCACACCTCTGCAGATGCGCATATGTAATACAATGCGACGGTGACCGGCGTCGCATTTTTAAATTTCCTTCCAGCACGTGGAACTTATTGGTTTAAACATGCACGTGCTCCAGATGCTGGATAAACTTCATACCAAAAAGATCTGCAAACGGGTAATGTGTTATCACACATAGTAATTGGAATGTATCTTTTTAGTAAATTATCAATAACATGTTATCATGAACTAAGCAACTGAAATGGCACTATTTATCGCTAATCAAACTATGCAGCGAATGCTGGCACTGTAATGAGGTACATGTACTTTGAAATATCAAGTTCATTTGCAATTGATCTATAACTTTATCGTCTCTTTCTCTTCATTCTCTTTCGGTTCATCATCATCGCTGAGTTGAGGCAGTTGCTTGCCGATGCACTGGGGCACCGGCAATACAAGGCGGTCTGTCGTCTTACCAGAATTCTGCTTCCTCCTCCGGAAGCAACTCAGAACCTGACTCCGTATTTTGTCCTGTCGGACGACGAAGAGCAGAAAGATGAACAGGCCTTGCAGGGAGTTGAAGACGCAGAAGAGGATCTGGAAGGCAAAGGTCGAGGACTCGATCACGGCCAACAGGCCGAAGGCCCATGTCAGGCCAAGCAATACCGAGACGGAAACCATGTTCTGCAGGCGCTTGGCAATCTTGGACCGCTTACCTCTCTTGGAAGAACTCTGGATCTTGTCAGCCTTACAGGTCAAACGACGAGCGACCAGGACAAAGATGATGGCATTATAAAGGAAAACCAGGCCAATCATGAGCAGCTGACCGTAGTAGAAGGCTACACTAGGCTTCAAAAAGCAACTGGAGATCCAAATGGAGATGCAAAATTTACGTGAGCTATATTTGTAGTTGGCGGAGTTTATCATCTGCAGACGAGCATCATATTGACGTTTGGAAGATATGCAGAGCATATGAATCTAAATTACAGTGTAAAATCTTGACAAAATTTTTCAAGGATTTTTTCCCCTTTTTCTTTGTGGATTATCTAGAATTTTTGCAACAGATGTCTACATATTTTTGCGAGAAATCACACTCAAGTGAGCGCTGGAAAGCACTTTTACACATACTGAGTAAGGGTCGTCTCGTCTGTCACAAAAACCTTTTGCAAGTTAAATTCGGGACACTGAGTTCTTCACTTTACGTGAACACACCATTTGAATTATCCGTAATAAAGACACTGTTGCTATACCTCGTGATTCGAGGAAGCTTTTACTTAGTTGGAGACGCCTTGCAACAATACACTGTTTTCAATGGAAAAGACGAGCACACAGGAACCAGTGCCGCCTTGAGCAGAAGGACCCCGTCATCGGTTGAAAGAGCCATGTTGGTCGGGAGTGTTCATTTTGTTGGTAGCGACGCGTACGCAACTCATGCATCTCAGTTTAGTCGTTCGTGAACCAGCGAAATAGAGTTCGTACCAAAAATCGATCCCTTGCTTGGTCTCGCTCAGGGCCTAATGGTGCAAGCTATGCAAAAGCTTGCCCTGAATCACGAAGTATTGCAACAGTGGCTTTAGCATGGGGAATTTAAATCATGTTTATATGCAGTCAAATAACTCAGTATACCGTAGTTTGTTCAAATTGAACTCGCAAAAGTTTATTGCAAGTATTCACAATTATTTTAAACTATCAGTGCCCACAAATCTTACCTGGTTTCATTTTCATAGACTGTGTAATCCACCGCCAGTATTATACTAACAACAATCATTGGCAAGCCTAACGAATGAAAAGAATGTAAAATTGGAATTTCAGATCAGAGCCTTCATAATCACTCACTGGTATGAACCAGAACTGATGTCAATCACTGGTGGATGAAAAGGGGCTAGTGGAGGCCGCGCCCCCTCCTCCAAAGGGGGATTTTTAGTTTTGTAATGAGTGAGTGAGGAGACTAGCCCCAAAGTTTTGCTTCACCCCTCAGCAAACCATAAAAGGTACCAAGAAATCCCCAATTTTGGCCTCGAAAAGTTGGTAATGGGTCCGACATTATAGGCCTGACTTTTTGGCAGACCGGGAAATTATCACTCGGGGGTTATCGAGTAATTGCCATTGATATCTATCATGTGAATCCTAAATGTTACTCCAGATTCACAATAGCAAAAGCAATCTTTTCTAAATCATTTGGTTAACAATCTAGTATTTGTAATTTTTTGTGACGAATGGTAGGCTTCAGGCGTGATTGGACGAGATGGGACTGTTGTTGGACTTACAGTCGTTAACTTACAGCCCGCTTCCCGACCAAGATCAAACCCTTCAGCTTCAATTTGTTCACGTGATTCCAGTCAGAGACACGTGATGCCCCTCAATTACGAAACAGAAATGTCTACTCACCCCAGGCAGCGATACCGGCCTTGATCATAAAGTGTTTCACGTCCGAGTTGAAGATCTTGACTAGTTTGAGATAGAGATTGGTTGCCTCCACGCTCATCCAGGCCATGGAGGCTAAGGAGAGGTAGTGCAGTAAGACTGCAGCGATGATGCAGCCCGCGCGGGAAGACGTCTGCTCGACGCCCACGAGGAACACCAGATAGAGACAGAGGAGTGTCAGACAGAAGCAGACCAAGATGCGACTCGGTGTCTTCGCTCGCAGGGACCTGCGATCCAATTTGAAGCAGTTGAATGGGTATTTTGGGACGACGGTGCGATCTAACTTTTCTGAGATTAAATCACCTACACTTGAGATTCCAAAAATGGCATTTCATTGAGAAAAACTAAGAGCAAGATAGGAATTTAAAACGTTAATAATATCAGTGGATCAATATTCATTTTAATAACTTTTATAATATCGTAACAATACGCATAATTGAAATACGTTAAAGGCTTTTGTCTAGGGATTGTGTTCGTTTTGACACAAGAAATTAAAGACTGAGACTGATAAAGTTTTGATTTTAGAAATAAACAGAGTTTCGTATGATTAATTCTGTCATCCTTACTTGATAGCAAGGTATATGATGATGGTACAAACCAGGGAAGCAATCGACAGAGCACATCCAATCTTACTGATGATGTCAAGAGCCAAAATGGGGCTGCGCTGGCCGTGAATGTCCTGTAGAGGCAACAGCAACAGCTTCCTTAGTTGAAAAACATGAGCAATTTTAAAGTGTATTTCCAACAAACTTCACCTAAAATGGGTTACAGGTACATGTAGTTTTCATACATTGAAGGACAACATAATATTGCACAAAAGCTGAGTTTAAGAACGCTTCGTCGCCTGTTCCCTATAATTTGCTCTTAACTAGTCTGGCTCCCAGACCCAATGAACCTGCTACTCTCTTCCGATTCAAGGGTCCGATATCACTGTCACTCAACAAAAACAGAGGCATTTCCTCGTTTTCTGAAAAATCCAAAAATATCAGAAATATTTCGAACTCCTTATCGTCAACATTCAGAAGGTATCGTTAATGGTCGGGCATTGTCGGCCGTGTTGCGTACTAATCAGTATACGAATATAAGTAAACACGTTTAAAAACATAAACAGTCATAATGGACGTATGAACAGCAGTAGAACGTGGAAATCGTGAGCTTACGCTTAAACTGAAAGCTCTCGTTGGCTCGTTATAAATGCTGCGCAGCAGTGACAATCCAGCGGGGCTGGCTACATGATACTGGAAAGTTGTTTTCGTCAGTCTTAACGGCAGTTTTTTTCTTGTGTATTTCGTGCCACATTGTATTATGTAAAGTACACCCCAAAATGAAATGAATGGCTTAGAGGCGAGACTACGGAGATCCGTGGCCCAAACAGGTGTTCCCTGACTCCTGGCATGTTACGTCATGATTTATATTTAACCGTAAGTGATATCTGACCTAAGATTTTATCAGCTGCCGTCAGGAATTTTCAGGTCAGGGAGCTAGACCATGGAGGTACGACTATCCATGGCCAGACTAACTCTACACTTACCACCAGAACAGCAAAGCTGGTGGTGTGACTGCAGTGACACACGGTCCTCCCGCCGCTTGAGGCATGCCGTCTGCAGCCCTCTGTCGACCAATCCCCTACACCACCTTGCAGTTGGCTGTCCCAGAAAACACACTGTATCGTTCCCTTTGTCAGCTGCAATGGGCACACATGCATAATTAGACTCCGAGGACTAAGTCGTTAGAATGACGCACATGAATAACAAAGAGCCTTTGATCTTTGTCTCAGTCCCAGGATTACAAGTGATTTTTTATGCTTAGTCACATATATTTTTTATACCAAATTATTCCAATTTTGAATTGTTCAACGTGTCACATTTGTTACCCGAGTTGCAATTTGCTCTTTTCTAGCTTCGCCAATAGGCCTATCTATATTAGTGGCGAAGCCAAAGCTATGTTCATTCGCTCACTTTGTGTCCATTTTCGGTTCAATCACAAAATAAAAGGAAATGGGAACAATGGTAAGACAATAGCAGCTTTTGGAACATTCTCTGTCATAATACGTATGGCGTATTAAATGCATTTTTACTGTTTTACTGCACTGTTGCATTCAAACAACGTTTGTATATTGCAGTTTTGCATATTATAATCTGTTTGGCTGTCATGTTTTGTTTCTATCAGCGTCCCGATTTTACTTTAAAATCTGCAACCCAGTGCACTCTGCAGCTCTGCAACATCCACCCACCCCCGCTACCTGTACTGCTCATTTGAACACTGGTTTTCCGTGATATTATCCCTCATGGCCTTACGGGTTTTTGCTGGAAAGTGACAACGACTGGGTCGTCTTCAGGAAGATTGTCTACTGAGACACCGATCACTGTGGCAGAAATCACCGCGCTGCCAACGAACCGAAGGGAACCACTTGAGACGGCTTCATCGATGAGCGTCGAGTGAAATAACTTGCTGGATTGGTACACCACGAAGCTTATGGGTACCGGAATATTGACTGCCAGGTGTGAAGTACATGGAAAGGGATAGAGAGCAGATTAATTGTATTTGGGTAGTAAAAAAACAAGACAAAACAAAAACGGACGTTATGCAAACTCTAAGGTTTTTGCACGTTATTTTACCTATCCAGGTTCTGGAAGCGCGCCAGAGAGGTCAAGTTTCAGGCTTTATAGTTTGTGACAAAGAACATTTTTATATATAATGAGCAGGCTGAGGCCATAAGGCCATGACGACGTGAGGTTCGTCAGAGTAGGAACTTTGCCTAAAAGTACTTCTATCGTCTCTTCATTTTCATACGGCAAGGGCACTTACCCGATAGATGTTTCCGTAATACCGCGCCTGGAAGCCGAATAGATGACTGCACTGTCTCGTCGACAGGAAAGTCAGAGCCATAATAAATACCGACGCTGTCATTTGTCAGTACGCTATCAGAAATCTCTCCCGTGACAACAAAACCCACTCCTTCGCCCAAGGAACTCGGAGGGATGTTCAGCGCTGCGACAGCGAGGGTACTCCTGACCGCGGTGAAGTTCGCACCGTCTTCGAGAACATGCGAGATTTGACTCTCGACGGCTTGTACAATGCGGGAGGTTGAACCACCGTCCGACAGCTTCTCAAAAACTTCACTGCCGACTTGTAGGATATTGTTCACAGCACTTACAACATTCAATGTTACCTATCAATTGGGAAATACAGACTCATGATTAAATGAGTAATGACTCTTGATTTAAATATTGTTGTTTAGTTGGGCATGCACGAAGAAAATGTTTTATTCATTGCCATATTCTTACAAAAGAGGAAGCGGCATTTTGCGAAGAACATCAGCCCAATTTTTTGCTGAAAGAGTGCAGTGTCCTTGGTATTTGAACAAATAATAGGTACAATATTCATTTAGGGAAACCCAGAGAAAAAAACCGACCAATGTTAGAAGAGAATTCTTTGAAACAGGAAATTCAGCTGGATTGTGACAGTTGTCCTGTCTATTATTACAGCCATGCAATCCCATGTTTCCAGCACGGACACACGCACCCAAGTGTGTATTTGCCTGCAACAGGGGACCCCCTATTGTTCCTCTTTTGTTTGTACTTTAACTTTTTCAGAAAACCACCCATATGTTTTGTACACAGTTGTCAATCGGGGACCCTCTGTCAATCGGGGACCTTATTGTCCTCTATTGTTCAGGGTCCCCAATTGAATGCAGAAACAAACTCAGTAGGTCAGTCGTAGCACAAGAAAAGTTTTAATGCAACGCTTGAATAATTGCTCGGCATCTGACCAGTGGCGGGCCGCACTAAAAAATGGAACGTTCCATTCCACAGGTAAACGATCAAAGACGTTCCGTATCCGTCCATTTGCACACACACACTATTCATGACCTCACAAAGAGGCTCAGCCACATAACATATGCAGGGCATATTTAGTAAGGATTCAATCAGAATTTATTCAGACTTTGTGTATGAAAAGCTAAATAATCTGTGCTATGGAAAAAATCGATCTGTTGACAGATGGCATTGCTCCACTGAATTCCAATTACCTCAGGAGAAGGATCCCGAACGTGGAGAATGTTATCTAGGACGTCAGCTACCGATGAAAGTGCCTCGTCATCAATTGGCGACGAATTACTGGTAATGGAGTAAAGAGATTCAGCCACCTCCTCCACGTTATCACTCGTTACATTTATCTGGAAGAGTGAAAGGACCATAGCACCACGTGATGCTGTAGTCGTCGTCATCATGCTGAAATCGAAACACTTGTGAAAACTGCATAATAAACAATTTTCGTACAACAAACTAACACCCGTTTTTTTTCGCGCGCTGTGTCAACACTGGTGTTGGTTACGTTCTTTATAATGTGCGAGAGAAGTGCACTTATTAACACCATACAGCCATATTAAATTAATACCAGTAACCATTATATCAAATTCTAAACACTGGTCAGTTCGTGGTGTGGGACACAAAATGTACTATAATGTTTAATTCTTAAACTTGTCACTTGCACTTGGGCGTTTGGGGCCCTGTGTTCAAGAGAAGGACGATTATATTTCGTGAAGCATAGCAAGCTTCAAAGGCAATGTACACGATTACCAGCATTTGGAGCACGTGTAGTTTGGTATTGTTTCAGTCTATGACTGTAGTCTAGTAAGCATAAATGTTTGCACACAAATATTCTCAATATGCGAATTTGGGGTAACGATTCGAACGGTAAACTTCATTAGAGTTTTATTTTAATAGGAATTCACAGCAATCGTGCCCTCGTTTATTGAGGAAAGAATGGAGAACTTCCAGTGTTCATTATTGCTGTTTTTGTCAAAAAGATAAACCACTGTACCATTTCGTTAAATACTTTTCTTACATTGATGAGCTAACGTTGCACAAAATATGTCACTCGCTGAAACTAATGCCATGATGGGTCCAGTTTCCTGTAGCCATCATTCCATATTTCAAAATCCTTCACCCCGTAGCTTTTCTCAAATAATCGACTGTGGGTTTTCAGTCCACACTTGGGTGATTTCTGGCTTCATGAAATATCAGTCCTGATCTTCCTACATCGTTTTTAGTTATGAAATAACATCCGGTGCTCTGATCAAAAATGACGAATTAAAAACTGAGGTCCCATTAGAGAACACTGAACATCAAAGTTATCCAACCATTTGCCACCACACAAGATAGGGCTGTAGTCGCTATAAAGATATCTCTCACTTGTTTTAAATCATCCAGCTGGCCAGTGACATTAACGTTACAACTGCCCAACACGGGTTCAAGCCAATGAGCATTCTGGGTGAAATCTCCTTCGCACGTTCGAGAAATTAAAATCACGCCTATATATGGGAGGAAGAAACAGCACATTTGAAGAGCTTGCTGATTTATTATGAACTCATTGGATTAGTGCCCATATGTTGTATTTCGGTCTTTCATTTATCGTACGGATCTTTACAGAATCTTATGAAAAGGTTCACTTTCATCCTATTCGCCTTGGGGGCCAAGCCCCCCCCCCGAAAATTATTCGTCTGAAATACCCACGACAAAAAGACGTTCGATTCTATTTCCCTTCCTTCCCAAAATATGTAGAAAACCCCAAAATGTAGCCTCACATCTCAGAAAGGAAATGAAACGTTACACAGTAACTTGTACATGTTTGAACCCGTCCTAAACAACACCAATAAACTAGATTTGGCTCCGCTCACAAGAATCTTGCTCTGGATTTGCAAGTAATTTTCACTGATCAGATTTGAGCTATAGCTTGACCGTGAAAGTATTTTTACTGTTAGAACAAAAGATGACGTTAGAATGATTTTTTCTGACATGCAAATACGTAACGAATAAAGGGATTTCGAACAGTTAAAACTAAACATTTTACGAGCAATGTGTCATTAATCGGACTTATCGCATTTACCCTTCTTTCCGGTAACGATGCATTCTTCCAGCAACTCAACATTTTGTCCTACTCTGGTCTGTGGGAATGTCACATCTCTCCCTGCTATTTCAATAACTTCGACAGGACAGGAAGCTGTGAACACGAAATTCAAACATCTTTTTTATACGGCAGTCACTTAATATATTCATCTCTGAAAATATAATTGATCCATGCTAAATCCAATACGATCCTAACCCTCGGGGTTTAAGCTGCTTTCATATGTAGCTGTAGTTATTTCAATTTCCATTTCCACAACAGGGAAACGGCAGTGTTTGGGATTTCACGAACTGGCTTAAAACGATGTTCAAAACAAAACATGTTCTTGCACTTACAGAGTGAAACCACCGTTACTCTGAGGGGATCGATGTTCAGTCCAGGTTGACTGGAGGCATTTGAAGATATTGCCATTTGCAGCGATGCTACAGAGTCAGCGTCTAGCATATTAATCCGAGAACTCAAGATTACTTTTAAACCGACGATAACACTGCCCGGGTAGAAGCGCACAACATCGTAAGCTATGACAGGTGTATATATCACATCCAATGGCAACTACAATAAAATTGAAACCAAGTGGTGGACATGTAAGAGACAGCTGTCAGCAAGTGTAAATGAGCTTTGATTAAATCTTTAAGAATCTCAGTATATTTCCTTCGGTTTGACTGAGTGACCGGTCGACCTATCATGCAATCACGCAAATGAACAGGATCGATCCAGAAACATTAGTCAGTAAATGAGCCACGGTAGGCCTAGTTAGGTTTACTGCATGTTCAGTTGATCGGTCGGTCCGTCCATTGGTTGGTTAATCAGCCGATAACGGCCGAGACTGTGACGTTACAACGTCGTTGCAGGTGACTTTGCCTTCAAAGTTACTAAGAAAGGGTTTCAGCAGGAAACACTTTGCCGAGAGGCATCGAAAGTATGCCCGAAGCGATAATCATTGAATCAAATTCAGTATCATACTTTTGCAAGAAATATGACACTGAAATTTAACAGTTTTGAGGACAAGTTTCTACTGTCGCATTTAAGACTGGAACAGTCGAGTTTAGGGGTGTGTGGAAGCGTCTTCTTTGCTTTTTCTCTCTATTGGTTGAAGCTTGTACGGATGATATCTTGGAGAAGTGTCCCATTTCCTAAATGTGTGAATATGACGTTATAGTAAATCACTGGGTGGTATCATTTAGCGCATACCTGGCTGCGTATTTTCTCTTTCAGGGTACTGAAAGCGATGCTGGATGTATTACTTAAATCGTCAGTGAATGTTTCATTCTTCAGCGTCAAGTTGACAGCCAATGTGGTGATGCCTTGAAACAGGAGACAAAATTATTGTTAATGCCCCTTCTGTAAGTGTGACAAAAGGCGCTTCTTTCGAGAGAGCATGCCTATAAGCTGGAACTGTGGTTTGGAGAAGATTCTTGAGTAAAAGAAATTTGAACAAGTTGAGAACTAACCCCGCAACGTTTTTTGCACCCCTGACAGCAACTACCATTATTGTAGGCCTATAATTTGCTTACTTTTGTGAATCAATCAATTTGTATGACTGTTCGTCATTGAAAGTCTAGTATGAACCATTTTTTCAGAATACATATGTACAGTTTGCCTTAAAGCTCTCTGGTATTTGTGTGTTTTTTGTGGTTTTTGCTTGTTGGGAGGGTGTAATCGTGCAGCCAAACCTTACAAGAGAACTTGTTAGGATGGAAAAAGGTCTCGTAACTACGATTCCGACATTAGGAAAACACTCCTAAGCTTCTCAACTCCTCCGGTCAATGTTGTCATCTCTGGCGGGAGCAAGTATCCCGCGCAATGAGATACCACTTTGAGCCGGGGGCCTTGGGCGGGGGCTGAGCTTGATTTGGTCAGGATTGAAGTTGAAGAACTAATTCACGGCAGTTGTTTATGTGCAAAGAGGATCGACGAAATGCATCTTTATGCACAAGCAGGGAGAGAGGGAGAATGTATCATAACACAGGCATATTGTATATCTGTAGGAGATTGTTTCATGTATTGGAGACACAAAATGTATGTAGTACATTATTTCAGGAATCTAACCGCCTTGACCGAGACCAAGAGAGGGCGCAATTGTCCTAGCAAAGTAGGCTCATGTGGGAACCTGCATTTCGCTGATTCACAAATGAATATAGCTTGCACTTGTTATGGTCGCATGGCTACCAACAAAATTAATACTCCCAACCCCTATGGCTCTTTTCAACCGATTAGCTCCCCCCCCCTAAAGTTTCTGGTTTCTAGTCAGCGCGAACATCGCCGTAGACCTGCTCGTCGGCAGAATAAAAAAAAATTGTTATTTATGTGGTATATAATACAATGCCAAAAAGATGCCAAACTTGCTTGATCGACTGGAATTCTGCTCCTGTGTTATTTTAACGTGTTTTAGATGGGGTGCGATAGTGTAATACGTGCGGTAATGGAGTCCCTCTGGACCCCCATACGTTTTGTCGGGCACTTTTTCAGATGACGTCATTTCTATATCATACATTTATGGTCTTATGTCCCGAGTACAGTACATCTACAAGCTGATTAAAAAGCGAAGGACCAGTCTATTTCATTGTTGGCTGCGCTGCGGCGATACGTAAGCATGCCGTGGCGATGGACATCGCACGTTATACGTTCATCATTTACAGGAAAAAACTGTGACGGAAAAAAACGCTTCGCCGCACCACTTTTGGAGCCAACCTTTGCTCAAGGCAGATAGTCTGATACATCATTATATAAACTTCCAAGATTTAAAGCTATTAAAGGTGTAGGTTGAGTTACAGATTTTATTTTACGTAAGCAAAGACATTGAAATCTTTAAAATAAAATCAAGGTGATCTTTATTAAATTTTGTTTTGTCTTACATGGTTTATATAATTTCAAATCTTGTGCTTCAAATCAAATGACCCAGAGAGCAAATGTACGTAAACCAACATTAGTAAACAACTTCTTACCTGATTTCAACACGACTGTCCGATGCTCCGCCGTAGCAGTGACGAGAGGACTTCTCCCTCTCCCAACACAGATATATGCCCCTTGATCCCTCAGATCTTCAAACGAAGGAAAGATGAGCTTGCAGCCATTGGTGACGAACTTGCGCCGGCCGTCAGAGTTGATCCGATACCAGTCGTAACTGGCGGCATTCTCAATCGGGCAGACAACCGGGAAGGGCTGGTTGCTCAGCAAATCATTCGGGGCTTCAATCAGATGTCGGGCAGAGGATGAAACGACCGGAACTGAAGAAAAACAAACACCAGAGCAAGTCATAAAAGACAGTATTGTATAAAAACCCACAGCGGGAATCAGCCCCACTGATCTCTGCATATTTAATCAGCAGCCGTTCTGAGAAGTATACCTGGTCCGGGGTCTGATGTGGATTCGCGACACAGCAAGTACGACAGATACTCCTGCTGGAGTCCATTACCGCAACTTGACTCCACAAACGCAGTCTCGAGTCTGGTCCACTCTCTAAAGAATTCGTCGCAGCTGTCTCGCTCTTGGCAATCGATCACTGACAGCTCTGCAGACATCGCCACAAACGGTATTGGAAACTGTTTATTGAGGAACTTTGCAGACAAGGTAAATTCAAAGCTGCCATTTTTTAGGACAGCTGGGGGCACAAGTTGCACGTCAAATTTCTCAGCAGTGTCATTTAACCTGACCACCGTGCCATGGCCGTCCTTTTGATTGTCATAGAACAGAAGATACTCATTTCCAAACGATCTCATTCGAGCGTCGTACTTCAAGTGCAGGGTCGGTGGCGAGAGGTGTGTGACAGTCAGGTGGTGTGCTATCACAGGGCGAATCAGGCTGAAATTGGAAGATTTTATTCGAAGAAGTCGCGATGAGTAGCACTTAGGTGCAGAACGATAGTAACGGAGATTCTTTACATTGTAAATATCTTCGCAAACGGGCCCTGCAAAAGCCATAGAGAGAAAGAGTTTGATGAGATAATATAACTAGGGGCTTTCAAAACAAAATAAGGCTTAACTTGTGTATTTCTACCCAAAGCCGAGCTGCAATGATTTTCTGCGTTGGCATAAAGAGCTAGACGACGCACGCAGCATCGCCAGTCTAAAAGCAAGCTTTTATGGAAACACACATCATTGCGAGTGACATAAGCCCAGTTAGTCGGCACAATACTTGATCGCGTTCAACTTGGCGAATGTCTGCGTCGAGTTGTCAGTATTGCTCCCTGCTGTCATGGCGGGTGTGCAACGATGTCCCAATACCAGTACAGCACACTTGGCCCATTTTCTCTATCAGTAAGATAATACGTACGCCCTCTCCGCCCCGAGCTTAAGTGCAACATCAATCGACGAAAGAAAGGCGCATACTCAGCGCGCTCCGCGTCAAACGCTCATATATGCGGTGATCACCAAAAACCCACGCCCTCTTTTGTTTCGCTCGGAGTGGATTGTCAACAAAACAGCTGACCATAAAATTAATGAAATACAGTGGTATCAAGAAAGTCATTGCAGACGAATATACTTGAGGAGATTCGTACACAGTTTTCTTTCAGTTTCTGGTCGAACGACTCTCTCCCGCGACTGTTTGCGTATTTCATCTTGTGAGCTGTTGCCGATTGTCACAACTTCATTGACAGGAAGGCTTAAATTAGGTCTACCAAGCTTACACGGTTCCAAAAGTCACCACTGCCTGACATGGTGGCATGATGCCTTGTTACAAAAACACGACCCGTTATTGCTAGGACACGAAGTGACGTTTACACACTTTTTTCGCTTTGGCCGTCAGGGCTCTATACCTGCACTACAGGACGTGTACGATTTAAGGAAAGCAGACATTATCGTGCATTCTAAGTGGCGACATATTTTTAAACGAAAACGATTTAGTGTTACTTGAAATTTTTGAGGATTTTTGCCTATATAGTCTTACCCCATTTGGCCACTGTGACCTCTCTACTGATTTTCAAGTCATCCAGGACACATCTAAATCTGTGTGAAATAATGGTCATAATTACTGCAATATTCGGGAAATTCATAATCAAAATATGGCTAAAACAGAAAAACAAGTCGATTCAAAAGGAGCAAACTGAACCTCACGTCTTGAAAATAGACTAGTCTGAAGACTTACGGTAGCTTTCAGTTGTTTCTGTTATTTCATTCCTAACGACCCACAATCGCAGTGGCATATTTTTCAAGCTGTTTGAGCAAAAGCCACAATTTCGCACATTCAACTTCGAAGATGTTAGGTCAACTGATCAAAAATTGTGACTGATTCGAGGCTGTTTGTGTCTGGCAAGCAAACCCGATTAGCTCTATATTAACAAAGCATGTAGTTTCATGGATTTTAAGGATTATTCTGTACTATTTTGAAAGCTGCATTACTAGCTAACCATTAAAACCATGACAGTATGTTACCTTTGAGGGAAGTCAGTCACCACAGTCTTCAAGTAGACTCCATTCAGACTCGAGTTCAGCACGTTTCCCTCTTCATCGACCCATTTTACAACCGGGGCAACATCACCGATTGCCACACACGACAGAACGATTTCATCATTTAGAAATGACGTCACATCAGGGCTAATGTATTCGAAAGATGGTGGTCCTGAATGAATAAAGTATAAGAGGATCGAAAAACTCATTTATCGGGAATGTTCCACTCAAAGTAGTTTCAAGTCGTATTTAGTTATCTACCTTTTGCCTAATGAAGGTTAAAGTGGAGACTGGTTTACGGCTAGTCGGTCACGTGAAACTCTTTCAACATAATATGCTAAGTCTCCTTATTAATGATCTTTATGCTTATAGCATTACAACAAAATACGAAAACACACAGATAATCCTTTGAACCAATACTTATGTGCAAACATAATTTCCAATCATTTCCAAACATTCAAACGTGGCTATATGTCTGGCTAGCGTTGCATTGTTAAAGTATTCTATAGCTTGTCTTGATAATTAACGTCAGGGGCGTAATTAAGTTCGGTATTATTATTTTGTTCTCTGGGGCATTAGGGGCACACACATTTTTGAGAGGGCACTAAAAGAGAAATAAACTGTTGCTTTTTAAAGTTTGAAATAAAGGGCATCCCTGGGAACCTCACATACGTCGTTTAAATGATGTTTAACTGACCAACCGTATACAAAGAAATGATGCACGAAAACAAGTGCTAAGCAAGTTGTTAATTGCCTCGTTCTACGCAACACATTGATACTTTCAAAAACCCATGCGTCAGTAAGAACTCACCAAGACACCTGTCGTACAGCGAAAAGAAGATTTCGTTGGTTTCAGGCACGCTACAAGTGACGTTGAACCAGAGCTGCCTGTAAGCAATAAGTGTTCTCCAGGCGGCGTAATCCCTAAAACATTCGCAGCCACTGAAGTGCGTTCGGAAATACAAATCGACGCAATCATTGCATGTCACGTTGACTGGTACTGCAGGACGGCTCTGAATATCCACGAAGTACTCAATCGTGACACGGATTGTTTCCTCGGACTCAACATGGAGAGGAACTCGTAGTTTCTTGGAAATCTGCTCGAAGTCAGTGATCTGCATGGATAAAACGAATATTATGAAAATTTGCTTGAAACTCATAAAAATTCACTGAATTGGGTAACTTTTGCTGGAAGACAGGTGAACGTAATTGTGTTGTTTTGACTTATGAAGCAAAAAGAACTGTATCCAATATTGCCTCAGAAATGCAGCCTGCTGAAATGACCCAATATGAATCGAGCCAGGCAATTACCGGCTGTTCAAGAGAGCGTCGTAAAGCAAAAACAAACAGGGACAGTCGTAATATCTTCAAGTTTGAAGACCAACTCTGCAGGCGTTTGATCAACGACACAAAAATTGTTTGTTTGTTTGTTGGGGTGTTGGGGTGTTTGTTTGTTTGTTTGTTTGTTTGTTGGGGTGTTGGGGGTGTTTGTTTGTTTGTTTGTTGGGTTGTTGGGGTGTTTGTTTGTTTGTTTGTTTGTTTGTTTGTTTGTTTTTCTTCAGACTTACGAAAATTCTCGTCGTCTGCAAACAGTTAGCTGATGAAATGCTGACCATCACAGTTTTGTCACCCAGCCCCGACAAGTTAAAGGCCGGCACATTCAGGCCAACCTGGAGTGGACACAAGGTATTTGGAAATAATGAGACAAGCTGATAATTAATCCGAGAGGTAATGAGACAAAAGTAGGCCCCAACTTCAAAAGAGATATCGATGAGCTCCTTATTCTTCTTTCAGTAGTCTTCAATTATTGGTTTATAGCCTTTTGTTGAAAAAACTTGCTTTTATTTGCCCAGCACAATGCAATCTGCCTTTTCCATGGAAGAATAGAATTGAGCACAGTGGTATGTGACGCATGGTGGCAGAGGGGGGCAGATGCTACTCATTAGCGATGTTTGTGCCCTCCTCCCCTTGCCACCTTGAAATCTTGAAATGAACACAACTCACATAATCATGCTGTGCAAGCCGCAGTACTGTTTTAACCCCCTTGAAAAATGTTTGCACCCTGTGTGTCCTCCCTCTCCAATTTTAACCATAAATCGAGAAAGGGGAACAAACTTTGTAGCCTCTTTACTGAACTTGTCTCCCACCCAAAGGGAAGGATACCTTACCTCAGTGAGGTACGTGTACTGGGAGTAAGTTGTAGGCGCAGTAAATATATATATCGCAGTATCGTTTTCCAAGAAGGAATGCTGGAATAGGCCACTGGTGTTTCGCTCAATGCACAGTATACTTGCAAAACTGCGATCCCAGCAGTAAATGTCAGCTGTGCGTGACAAAAAAAAATCAAAATTTGGTATCAACGCTGCGTGACTGAATTTGATTAGTTCAATTTGGACATCGACTGCTTCAAACGAATCTTTACCAGTCTTCAATAGTTATTAAGTTTCGTCTCAAAGCGATACATGGATAGAAAGCGTAAAAGGGAAAGTTATCGCTTATATCAGGGCTTCCAATTCTGATCAAAATTTTCAAATCATGCTAAATGATGTTGATAAATGTGCCATCGGTCTGAACAATGAAATTGGCAATTGCGAGAGTTTGGTTTCAACGTCGATCATGTTGGAACTGTATACTATTGTTATAATCCCCTAAAGGAGTCGCGGGCAGAATCCTCCCCCCCCCCGACATTTTTTCCGATATCGCTGTTGTGCAATTTTTTTCAGAAGTTGAGCATTTCAGAGTTTTTAGAGTAACACTTTGTCATCATTTGCACACCATTTTTGCAAAAATTGAAAATACCGTTCTTGCGTAGTGCGTATTTTTTTTCCGAGATGTGTCAGCCAAAATGTCTACTTTTTCCACTACGGTGCTCAATGAATGCGTGCTGGCACGCATGTAGCCATGAACTTCAAATGGCCATTACATCACGCACGTATCACACTCTGACCAATCAGGAATTCTCTTCCAGCAGCCTGAAAAGGATTGTGTGTGTGTTTCCATGGCATGGAGTGGAATGCATGAAACAAAAAAACACTAAATTAAGTGTTCCATGGCAACATGGTTCCATTTGTTGAGCAAAGAAACTGGCAGGACAGACACCATTTTTATGTTCTGATCTGCACTTCTAGAAGTGTGATAAGAAATTGATCAGCGCCAACTCGAGATATGCAGCATTGAAGTTGACAAAATATTGTGGCATTTTGCCTTGGCTAGTGCCAGTCAAACAATTGCTTGATCGATCACGTCCATTTCAAGGTGTGTGAGGATTAAAAAATCTAGCACGAGCATGGAGTTTTGGATAAAGATGGAGCTCGTTTTGCTGCCAGACCGAAACACAGAACCAGGACAATATATCAGAATCATATGCGATGGACTGCCCAAACACGGTAATATCCCTGATTATGTACAAGCGTACCATTGTTATATAGTGCCACCCATCAATTTGGGTCTCGTCCTTCCTCGGCCTTGGTCATTAACCGTCAAAGAGCCGGGTTAATTTGACCCATCTCACAGCCAGGGGGGTGGATTCAGCCCCTAACAACTCGGCTGTACCATGCCCAATGTTTTTAACCTTGGCGTGCATGTACAAACACTCCTAATCATTATAAGTTTGAAGTCAATCAGACATAAAGTTTTGTTGTTATGGTCATTTGAAGTTCTTGGCTAAATGCGTGCCAGTATGCGTGCATTGCGCAGACTCATATAATTATAAACGATTCGAGGCCAAACTTTAAATAGCAAATGGTGTAATGCCTGTAACCATATCTTACAATCTGAGGAGCACAATGCAGGATTCTCATCTGAATCGTATTGGTCTCCGCAATCGTTATAGTGGTCGCAAACCTGAGAACGAGGAATGCACACTCCGTTGGAACACCTGTACTGGTCACTGTGGCAACCTGCAGACAATGGAAAAGAGGAAAAACAGACTGCATGGAGACCAAAGAGTTATATATAGAGCATCTTGGTCTAAACGTTGAGTTGACCATCACCAGTTCTTCTCAGAACCACCACTTTTGATTGAAGAGAACGATTCCACGTGGTGTACCCGCAAACCATTCTCGATTTCAATGAAATATTGTCAAGTTGTTGCCAAATCCACAGCGAAATGTTTCAGTGTTTGCTCGTTTTCTAAAATGCATCCACTTGAACTCCTGCACAGTAACTCATTTACGGTGGCTGAAAAGTGCGGGTCAAGAGACAAGACTAGTGTCCAAGCTGCAAATAGAATATAATATCGCCTATATCGTCGAACATAGAGGGTGACCCAAATCGCAACAGTACGTGCGATTCACAATAGGTGTGCCTGTATGAGTAAGAGTGATTCCCTGTATCCACCACAGGGGCGTGCGGATATAGAGCAAAAAGCAGGTAAAATTTTTCCTATTTCTGTATGCAACATTTTTGTAGGCTACTAATTGTACTTGTCTTTAGACATCAGGGGGATACTTAACAGTTATTTGTCCATCCAAGACTACAACATTGCTGTCCTCAAAATTTCAGAAATATTAGTGAACGATGTCCCAACTTCTGTAAATGTAGGAAATGTACCTCACACAGTAACAGGGACTGATCTGCCTCAGTTCATCTCGAATAAGACTTTATTGGCCACAAATGCAATATGTTTGAAATTCTGTAAAAATGCAGGCCGCATGATCGGCGGAGCCAAAGACAGCGGCCACCCGATCAGACTACCCACCGCTGTTTATAAGTAGGGCTTGTGCATTAAATTCCCCATGCGATAAACACGTCGGTATTATAACAGTACCACATTACACATTCGGCTTGCTAATAAGGAAGCCCAGTTCACGGTGCTTGCGCGTACTATGTACGCGTACAAAGTGCAATGCGGCCGACTAAATTCTACTTCGGCAAACTCAGGAGAGTAGAGAAATTGAATTCGGTTTTCAGTGACTACCTCGAAGGCAAATTTCAGCCGCATCGGTTTCCGACAACCGTGCTAGATACGTTTTATCCAGTGTCGAAAATGCTTCTTGAAATTAATTTGTGGTTTGTTTATCAACCAAAAAATGGTTGGTATCCACTCCTTTTGTGGGTGAAAAATGAAACAGAAAGTAATTCTCATCCCAAAAATTGGGTTAACACAGCCCATATCTTGGTAGTTGCAGTCTTCACCCTTTCTTGGGATAAAATTTAACCAGGTAATTTTTCAGTACGCACACAATACAACAGGTAGTATAAGGGTACTCCACCACCGGCCGCCTTGTGCGTCATGCATGTGCCTACGCCGAAATAACGAAGAAATTATGTTTAAAAAAGGAAAGAAAATCAACCTACTTTGGGTATCTACCAGATAGCACAGTGTGTCCACTAAAAGAAGTGATGAGACTATCCATGCGAAGGTGTGCAGTGTTGCCATATTGATCCTGGCTTGGAGCAAAAACGAACTTATTCAGCTGTTGTATTACATTTCAGCACGTACTATGAAGTGGTTGAAATGACGATCGCCTGTTTAAATTACTGGTATATGCGTGACTGCCTTATATTGTCGCTGTGCTGTCTATTCTAGGGATGTAACTGAGATCTTGTTTACTCAAGTTGTTGCCAAAGCCACAGCGAGAAGTTTCAGTATTAGGATCTCTTTTTCTGGACGTCCACTTAAACTGCTTGACAGTAACTCATTTACGTTGGCTGAAAAATGCGGGTTAAAAGACGAGACAGGTGTGAAAGCTGCAAATAGAATATCGTATAACCCCCAAATCATCAAACGCAGGACATGGCTGAGCCGAATCGTAACAATTTCTGCACCTTGTTGCATGACGTCAGTGGCACAGCTCTGGGCAGCGGCGCGTGAACAGGGGAGGGTCCAGCAATTTTTTTCGGGGGGATCAGGCTAGATTTTTTTTTTTCATGTCTCACTTTTGCGGACAAGTGGAAACAGTGATGAAACATAATAAATGGAATACATTCTTTACAACGATATTGGTGCACTTACTTAAGTTATTCTCTATTTTTCCCCCCATTTTTACATTTTTTGGTCTCAGAGCGGGGGGGTTGATCCACCAAACCCAACACCAACCCCCCCCTGGATCTGCTCCTGGTGAGAGTCTCGCTCAAGCCTCTCGATGGTTTCCCGAGGGTAATCATTAATAGAGACCCTATCATTAATAACTGAGCAATTAGTTGTCCTAAACTCGCACCCCTTAATTGTGATTGGACTATGCAAACCATCCCTAATCCCTGATTGGCTGCAAATTTAGTGGAGCGGGGTCACTGCCACTGCTGAGCTGAGTCGCAAGAGCGCGCACGCACAATCATATTTCCACTAGCGAGAAAGGGGAGTGGCCTGTGGTGGAAACGCGCAATAGAGCCTACGCACCTAATTATAAAACAGCCGTACAAAGGACGACCCGAGGTCGTCACAGTACGTTTTGGGGGTGCGTTGCGTGCACAATGCGTTTATGCGTTTCACTTTCAGAGACTCAAAAATTGGCTCCATTATAGCATAACACATGTGTGCGATGCGTTCAACCCTGGAGTGATTTTGACGGATATGCAAAGCTTGGCGCAAGAGTTGGAAACGCTTGGCCCAAGTGTTGGAAATGCGTCTTAAGGCGCCAACCACACAGTATACAAATATTCGCTGAGGGAAAATAGAATACTCCATGGATTACAGAGGGAGACTAGTTTTACTCCGAGCGGAACAAAAGAGGGCGTGTTTTTTTTTTTTTGTTTTGTTTTTTTTTTGGAACTCACCGCATAGGCGCTCCATGAGGCGTGCAAGCACATGCCCGTTTCACGCGGGTCGCGCGGAGTACGCATAACTAATTTATTCTGGCATGTATGGTCTTTGCGCGCACGCAGATGTGCGCGTGAACCCACCCGCTTGCAATCGCCTGCCTTTCTTTTGCCGACTGATGGTGCACTTCAGCTCGGGGCGGATACCGGGAGATAAAGCAGTCAATGGGCCTATTTTGTTTTATAACACGTCACCTACAGATTCTGCACGATTTCAGCTAAAATCAGTAATGAAACACCAAATGGCAAATCGTCGGTGCTCCATTTTGCAAATCGTGTGTGACATTAGAAAGTGTGTACCGACGACGTATATTATACGTGACATACCGGACCTGACTATTGGCATCTTCGTTCTCTTAACCTATTCAATTTGAAGCTAGTACGTAGCCTGGTTCAACGAGCTCGAGAATGACAAAGATAGCCGAAATTTTATTGCTACGGATATAGTTCTTTTTCAGAGCGAGGCTGCAGGTATGTAGTCTTTTTGGAGTGGTTGTACAATAGCAAAACTAACAAGCGCCACATGACACACCTTCCGCCAATTAATTAATATACAGAATCTGTGGGTGAGGTGTCGTAACATTCGCTGTTTTTGCCATTATTTTATTCAAGGCTTGCCCCCGAGAGCATTTTAAACCTCTGAACCTCGGGCAGTGTGGCAGCGTGGCAGTGGACACTACTATTAGTTATCAAACGAGCGCAGGCGTGATAACGAATTTATCTTCATGCAACTTGACGCACAGTAAAGATGCTGTTTGGGGCCATGGGGGGCGGAAGGCGTTTGCGCGTGATGTGCCTACTACGGCCTGTAAGCCTATTACATTCATTAAAGGGGGTGTTCATAAGGAACTGTTTCTTTTTTTCCCTCTTTCTATTCATAAGGAACTGTTTCATTTCAAGCTACAGTCTCCGGCGTTTCCATTATCTACAAGGGTTATTGAAGAACTTGTTGCATCTTGCACGCGAACACGCTTATAATGCACTAAGTTATAAGTTTTGATCGAACGTGAAGACTTTTTGGACTGTACACGTACCCAAAAGCAATGGACAAAATTTAAATGGGACGCATCACTCGTTTTTTAAGACGGTGTGAAAAAAGGGTCACGTTGAAGGGAAGAATTTCCCTTAAACACTACAGTCTGCAGGTGAGGCCTTTACACATTTTACAAATTAAATCGTTGTTATGCATGGAATTTAGGGGTGTTAATTTAGTGAGGAGATCAGCGCGCAGCGAGAAGCTGAAATGGGATCCTTTTCTGGAATCTCCCTAAACAAAGGGCTGGTGCACATATCGAAAATAGTGAAAGTTCTTCAATAATCCTTATAGATTATGGAAACGCTGTAGATTGTAGCTTTAAATGAAACAGTTCCTTATGAACACCCCTTTAATTAATGATCAATAACAATTGAATGGAGATCAGCACTAAGAGGCATCTGTCTTCAATGTCTTAAGATTGGTTTGAGTTTTTGCCCGTTTTAGATACGTACATAACCACTGGTGTTCTTATAATGCAGATCAATGGCCATGTCATCAACACACTTATGGCCATGTCATCCAGTCTTTTTTTTATTCACAACCAAGGAGGTCGCGCAGACACGCAGACCCAGTGAGTTGCGTCACGCGTCATGTTCTTCGGGAAACAAAATACACAGAGTTGGTTAAAGATCCCCTTTTTACTGAATAAAAATGCCTTTGCATCCTTAAAAATGGAACGAAGTCGTCGCAAGATGAGCCATCATGGCAGTCGTTTCTAAGATGTCAGCAGAACCGACAGACTCAGCAAGTCCGGATACACGGGCCTCAGCGGCTACCCGCAAAAACGCAGACAATTCTGCCAAGGAGCGACTGTCGGTTCTAGAACAGCACGGCTTCACAAGCGGAGAAACGGTCGGACACGGATCCTATGCCGCAGTTAAGGTTGCATACTCCAGTCGACACAAAAGCAAAGTGGCCATCAAGATCGTCTCAAAGAGGAAAGCCCCCGAGGACTACCTCAGAAAGTTCCTACCGAGAGAGATTCAGGTAGTCAAAATCCTTAAACACCCTAACCTGGTCTGCTTTTTGCAGTCGATCGAGACCACGAGTAGAGTGTACTTCATCATGGAGCTGGCGGAGAACGGCGATCTTCTGGACTACATCAAGGCACAAGGCGCCGTGACAGAGTCTCAGGCTGGGACTTGGTTCCATCAGCTTGTGGACGGTATGGAATATTGTCACGACCAAGGGGTCGTCCACAGGGATCTCAAGTGTGAGAACATTCTCCTAAGCAAGAACAACATTTTGAAGATTACAGATTTTGGCTTCGCACGCGGCCACATGAAACCAGTCGACAAGCGAGTGATTTTGAGCGAGACTTACTGCGGTAGTTACGCCTACGCACCGCCGGAGATTCTTCGAGGAATACCCTACGATCCCATGCTCGGAGACATCTGGAGTATGGGCGTGGTCCTCTTCACCATGATGTTTGGGCGGCTGCCGTTCGACGACACCAACCACAAAATTCTCTTGCAGCAGGTGCAGAAGCCCCCAGCGTTCCCGTCGAACCGGAACGTGGCAGAAGACTGCAAGGACCTTATCTGCCGGATCCTGTCGCCGGCCAAACGACGGATCAACATCAGCGAGATACGGGAAAATCGCTGGTTCCGCCGCATTGGAGGAAACGTTGCCAAAGCCAAGAAGGCGTCGGCTGTCAAGATAAAGCCCCCCAGCGAGGCGAAGTTACTCGGGGTTGGAGGTGGTGAAACTGACCGGACAGCGAGTAAGAAGATAGCAGACAAAAGTGACTAATCACAGTTCGTTTAATATTGTCAACTCATCGACCAGAAACAGAAAAGTGAAATAATCTGGATGAGGTGGTACTCCAGTGAATGAACCACATAATTATTGACTTTAACCCAGAAAAGAGTTCGTGAGTAGCCCAGTATGACGATCAAGAGATTAAAGATTGCCTGCATTGGAGTCAGTATGCGCGACATAGGATGTTAAGAGGACGTACACAGCCAACAGCTTCTGGTCAGGTCTTCTTTATCTCTTTTGTAACAGAAATGTTACAAAAGAAAAGCACAATTATTTTCGTGTACTTACTTTTAAATTTTCCCTGCTTTTTCCGGTGTGGCACTCGCGAACACCAGTTTAATAGCTCAATGAATGAAGATTACCTAAAAATGAGACGTTTTCTCACGATTATCTTTTTGAGCATGGTAATGGGGGCCTATTTTAGTATTTCTAAGTAAAGTTACTTTTAACTTTAAAACGTACATGCAAAAGGAAATTGAATACATTGCTTGTAGGTTTTTTTATTTGGGGGGGGTCACTTTTTGGAGAGCTTTTGTACAGGGGCAGGAAGATGTGGCAAATATAAATGCTGGAAATTCACTTCACTTCAGGTTTTGTTTTGGTTGGAAAGAAGACATTTACACACTGGACCCCTGTTCTGCAGTAAACAGTTGAGTACATTATACAGCAGTGGAGTACTTTTTCAAAAGTGGTGGTTTGTTAAAAGAAACGGCAGACTCAGCAGGCAATGCTTGAAACCTCTTTGTATACGTGACACTTATGCGGCCACTTAATTTCTGATGACAGTGAGAATAAAACAAGTTTAGACCAACGACTAGATGTTCAGCCAGGCCTTTTTTAGGCTTGTTGTGAAATAAATCACCCCACGTGCAATTGTACGTTCAATTACAGAAACATAGAGCAGTATGAAGAAACTAGTGAGAGAAATGTCGACACTGTTTCAGTGTTGCATTCAGTGCTTCTAGAATAGTACATCGTATTTTCATCCCCCCGTTTTTACGTTAGCACTTCATTTGCTGCACCGGTTTCGCCTGTCAGCGTCCTATGCTTTTTAAATCCCCACCCTCGCCACAGTGCACCACCCCGGGCTGCGCTGTCTATCTTTATCCTGGAGAAACTGACCTGACTCTGCTCTAGGCCCCTGCACATTTTTTCGAGACGCAGGCTCAGTTAATTGATTCAAATACACAAACTACACGACCAACATTTGATGTTGTCAAAGTTCGGTGTTTACGTTAACTTAAACACAATTATGCTAACATGAATAAAAAAAACAAGATTGAGGAATGACAGCATAGTCAATGAGCAAAGTTGCTTATTTTAAGCAGGCATACCGCACGTGCAGACTCAGAACGGTGCATAGACTTACATTGCGTAAAGACTGCCATGACAAGATATGAAATGAGGTGTGCATATATCTGCTTTATTCCGTACGCTTAAAAATCAAGTACAGTGACACTGACATTGTTAGAAAGGTTGACAAATTTGTCTACATTGACAATGGTAACTTTTTTGACTTGCTGATCATTAAGTTGACAATGTCATTGACACTAGCCTAAAGGGATTCTAGGTAAACATCCGAAGCTTTTGCAAATACTAAGCTAAGGAACAAATCCGTACATTTTTAAAGAAAACAACTTTTATATGTAAATTTTCTGTTTTAAAGAAACTCTTGTGTGAACAGCTATTACTTATTTTTATCAACAGTGAATGTTTATACAGAATTCTACAAGATAATTTCTCAAAGACTTTAAATGAAACAACTGAAAACACACCAAACATGACTAGTAAAGATGTATTTACATGTTTATGTATTCTCTACAGATGCACTTAAACATCTATTTAAAGTAGTTTTGTTCAGAGTAACTTATTTCAAGTCTGCAAGTGTGACAAAGTTTTGAGGGGGGGCATCTGGATTCAATGTAGAAATTTTGTTATGACAACCAAAAAATCAAACTCAAATGTAAGGCTACCTCCAAATGATGTGGCTATGGCTGGAAATAACACGTGTCTCTGGGTATTGCTGTGAAGCCACTAGCCAGCAGCTTCCATAGGTGCGCGTATTACATCTAGCCACAGCCAAGTCATTTGGACACAGCCTAGCATGATGGCCCAACTTCGTAGAGTTGATGGTCATGGTCATCTGATAAGTGCAGAAAATATTTGCTTGGCAAAAAACAGGGTACCGACCAAGATGTAACACGATGTATGCTGCTTGCAACTGGTTCCCTAGGTGATGTTTGCCCACATTTGCTAATCAGTATTGCCTTACATGACTACTACTGACAGATGGGGGGGGGAGGAAATGGGGCTAACCCCCCCCCCGACTTTTTTTTTCCCTGGTGAAGAAAGGATGATTTTTCCTTCACTTCCCTTCGACCCCAAGCCACATGAAAAGTCCCAAAATTTAGCCTAACAAGGATGACATAAAGAAATAATAAAAATATTTACCCCCTCCAAAAAAATGGAAAAGCACTGGCCAGCCACAATTTGTACCGTCTTCTTAGACAAACACTGAAGGCAACTCACCTTCCCATTCCTACTGGTATTTCTCGGCACAAAGTGTTTCCATCCGACAATTGCATAATTGGGTTCAATTTTAGAAAGCTCTGATTCCTAATTAAACATTTATGCTACTTGCCTATGATCATAGTCAAATAAATCTGAAATGGTTACATTCCGTTACAGTAAGAACGACAGTGGGCTGATCAAGGCAACATTTACACCTGTTAATCTCCCCAGTGAATCTTCTCATACTCTTCCCATGACCCCAAACCCCTCCCCACCATTTCCCCTTTCCAAGCAATGGCTCCCCCTCCACTCATTTTACTCCCTAAGAGCCCTTAACCTTTGATCCAGCCGGTCTTCATCCCGGACCGTTCTCGATGTTGAAGCCACTGAGAGTGATCCGGTGGCGATGGGTGCCTCATTCAGCTCAGAGATCATCTCTAGGCCGTTCTCCTCTGCCACCTCCAGGATGAGTTTGTCCACCTGGTCCACGGGAGTGGTCAGGGTGGTGGCCTGTCCCATCGAACCCTCCATCACCTGTTGTGAGCCAAGAGCATTCAAGTCATACAGCGCTCAGAAGGCTTGGTCTATCACGATTCAAAAAGTCCTCCACAAGAACTTTCAGACTTTTCCTAAGCTTGCGGACTTTTTACAGCAGTGGCCTGATGCACCAGACCAGGCAGTGTGCAGTCAAGTATGACAGCATTTACCACACAAAAGAACTATGACAGATTTCAAAGTATTTCAAAGATAGATTTGCACCGGGGAGATGTAAATTAATTAATTTTTTTTTTGCCCTGCCTGACATGTATTTTAACACTGTATACTCAGTGTATGCCTCCGAAGGCTTGTGAAAAAACCATGTCGGGCAGGGCCAAAAAACCCCAAAATTAATTTAAATCTCCCCGGCGCAAATCCATCTTTGAAATAGTTGTTTGCAGTACCCGCTGCTACATCTGATTCGAACCAGCCAGCCGACACCGGCAAGCTCGGTGGTCAAGTGGTTAAGACGTCTGCACTAGTTAGCAGGAGGTTGTGAGTTCGAATCCCACCCGAGTACGCTTGTGGTTTTTTTTCACAAGCCTTTGGGAGCATACACTGAATATCAGTGCTAAGATACACGTCGGGCAGGGCAAAGAAATCCAAGTTTTCAAAGTGTCAGCCATTCTCTCTAGAGGATAACCACACTCACAAATTAACATTCAGTCTGCAGGTGAGCAGAACTTAAAGCACATTCATATAAACTACATTCATTACAATGAATCCTTGTTCTCACCTAGTCTGATACACTGACTTCAAGGAATGAACGCTTACCTGGGTGTGCACATCCAAGTCTTCAAACTGCTTCTCAAACTTCTCCATGACGCCTGCAATCTGTTACAAGCAACCAAAACTAAAATGCCGACTTCTTTCCCATTAGCCTACCCTACCTACAGGTGACTAATTCAAACACACACACAAATTAAAATAGAATGCTTCAGCACTGGGAGAAAACTCCAACAGTATGTGGAATTAGTTCAGTGTGTGCAAAAGTTTGTTAGGAATACAACAGTCATGATTTAATAAGAGCACACCTAAATGTCATGATTCCCAACGTAGCATGAAATGACTTGAGAGTATTGCATCTGCCAGCATTCTTCGTCAAGACACTTTCCCCCAGATGAAATAATTTCTTCCCAATTCCAGGAATGCCCTAAAACAAAGGATCTTCTTTACAGTTCTTCTTTTGTTTGTTCTACTGGGATGGATGACGGCACTTTGGAAAGAGTCACACTCCAGCACATTTCACATGGCACAGTTGGAGCTTTGTTTGAACAAATTATTTTATAAGCGCCTTCAAAGTTGCATACGTCAATTTATGAACAAAAGCTATAAACTGTACCTTTTGCAAATCCATGCTCCTCATTACTGAGTCCAGTCCTTTCACTACCGAACCCAGGCTCTTTGAAAGCTACATGAAAACAGAAATAGCTGCATTTATTCTTGTAGCAAATTTATCTCCTTTAAAGATGTACTCCTCTTCATTGACTAGACTGTAAGGGTCAAGCAACTTCCGAATGGGTGACATTTCATCACCATCGGAAAGTGCTCACATTTGTTTTTATTTTGAAACTTTACTTTATTTCATCAGTAAGCAGTGGGTATATCAAAGGGAGTGCTACCTGGGACTTCAAAGATGCAGAATTAGAATTTTCTTTCAGAGAAGGACACTACCACAGGACTGTCCACACGCACAAGCAAACCCTGGCATATCCAGGGAGAACATGGGAGCTTTAATAGTGAATCAGGGCAAACTGTCTGCTCCAGTTAGTACATTTCTGCAAGCTGGTAGGTATCACCAGGAAATTGGCCAGGATTTATTGCGAAGGCGACAAAGCAAATCCGTCATCAGCAGGAGACAGACAAGTTATGAATAGTGGAAGGGGGTCATTTCCGATGTATTTTCAAGCAGATTGCTCATTTTCCTCCACTTTCCCTCCAATTAAAATTTCTTTTAGCGAAGGGGGAAGGGGTACTCCCCCGCCTAACCCCAAAACTCTCATCTCTTGCTCTCATCTCTTTTCACTGAACTTGAACTTGCAGTTACTTTTTTTTACTTTTTCACATTTCAGTCCTTTGATTTTGAGGTTGGCTTGTTTTTTGCTCGTCTGTTAATGGTGTTACATTTTTAAAGGACTGTACTTTAAATTTCAGATTTTGAAGTTTAATTGATTAATTTGGAGTTTTTGAAGTGTAGGGCCCAGAAGGAACCCAGCTTTGACTGTCTGGGTCTACTTGATAAAGAAACAAAATAAAGAAAGAAACCTCTGAATTTAACAGAACTCACATCCTTCATCATCATTGCCGACTGCACTCTAGAGGAGACGGCATCTACTCGCGACGCCATCCGCAAGAAATTTAGCCCTTCGTTTTTCTTCCTGATGGCATTCTCGGCATATATCCTGGCTCCCTCGATGTTCTTCTGTTCTATGGCCTGCCAATTAAAGAGTTCATCCACCTACAACTTGAAACAGTTTGCAAATACCAGTCTGACTGATGAAGAAATTTTAGCACCCGTGGAGCACACATGACTTTAGCAACCTCCAAGGTCTACTGAGGTTTGACATTTAGCGGTCTTCGAAGAAAGAAAGACTGCCCTTCTGTTACTTGCCACGATATTAAGATGTTGAAGTTAGTAAAACATTCATGGGTCAGAATTTTTACTAAAGACACCTACATGTATTCTGTGTATCGCTGGTTAGCTCAAGCACCAAAATTATGTTATGCCACAGTAAGCACAACTTCTGTGCTGTTACGTGGCGTTGTGAAAGTGAGCCCTGATTCAAACAGATTGTGGTTGTCAGAGGTGAGACCATGTTTTCACAACCTTTAAATTAAGGCACAGAGTCCCCATGAACAGGCAGCTGGTGACTAATTGCACCTCCCAACTCACTCGGTCAATTATCATTTCTTTACCTTCTTCACTTTTGCCTGCTGCGTTTTTTGTTCTTTCTCACATTTTTTGGCCGACCTCTCCAGCTGTTTGGTAGTAAACTGGAAAAAATTGATATCCACAGTGACAACACACAGTCAGTGAAGATTATTCTTTGAAATTCAGTGGAAAAATTCCAGAAAAAATACTGTAAAAATGTGTCAAAATATCAAATAGTCATGGCAGTGATACTCTTGAACCTACCTTCAACTGGAACAAAACATCTACTCCGCCCAAAGAAAACACCAAGATGGAAAGAAAGGAGAAACAGAGCAACTGTCAGAAAATGCCTCTCTGAATGCAAACTGTCAAATATGTAGAGATCTAAATAACTGAAACATATCGAGGGAATCAAATGCTACCCGTGGATGAGTAAATTCCTAAACCTCGTAGCACTATTTTGTTTTTAGTTTAACTTCTCTATTATGAAATTTATTGAAAAGCACCAACAGGCTTGTGCCTAACAAGTCAATCTACCATCGTTTAAAATGGTGTTCTATCTTATTTAGTTATTCTCGGCTATCAAGGATGCTTATCATCAGACGCAGCAG